GACCTCGCTTGGCACCATGTCCACTCATGATTTATTGAACATTACTCCCTCTGTCCTTCAAAGAGTGTACTTCCAACATTGTTGGAGGGTCAAACTATTTTAAAATTTTACTGAGTTTGTGTAAAAATATATCAATGTTTATGAAATCAAATAAGTATATGATAAAAATATATTTTATCATAAATCTAATGCTACTAGTTTGATGGCATAAATATTGATGTATTATTATACAAATACGGTCAAACATAAAAATGTTTGACTTTTCAATAAAGTTGGAAGTACACTCTTTAAAGGACGGAGGGAGTACTCCTTTACATACAGTCGTACCAATTTATATATGTTTCGAATTCATGTAGTAATAAGCTCGATGAAGGATGGATGGATTAAGCTGGACGAAGGATAGATGGATTGGTACGTGAGCTAGCTGGAAAAGGGAGTAAATGCACATAACCACCATTTTAGTGTCACAACTCTCGGAAAATCACCACTTTACAAAACGTGGCACTTTGCACCGCACCAAAAACTTGACAGCGGCAAAAAACACTGAATCAAAAATTGTTCTCGTTTTGACGTGTCCGATCGTGCGTGGGCGGACAAGGTGATGGCGCATCGCTAAAGACCATCTTTTTATTTTGCAATTGTGACGAATCTGCTGGGTCGAGTCGACGCATGAGGGAGGGGTAGTTTACTAGGCTGGGCGTGTTTATGCTGCTGGGTCGGGCCGACGCGTGAGGGAGGGGCAGTTTATCTGGCCTGGTGCATTTGGGTTCATTCCATTATTCTTGTTCTATGATGGAGGGGTAGTTCGATCGATCGACTGGCCGTTCGGTTTCTCTAGAAACCCCTAATCTTCACACGCACACCGCATTCATTCACTCCCTCTTGCACGGATAACCACCACTCCACAACCTCTCCATCCAACCTCCTCCTTCCAATCACAGAAAGCAAAGAAAACCTCCATTACGCCATGGCATTTGGCATCGGATGGGACTAGACGTTGCAGGAGATCTTTGATGGCGACAACACCAAGCTCTCCTACGCGCGCGAGGTGAGCACCTTGTACGCCAGCCTTGCCATCCTCAAGAATCATGCGCGTGAGGTGAGGGTGGCCGCCAACCATGAGGAGTATGCCCGATTGCCAGACCTCCATTGCCTACTGATCGAGAACCTAGTCTGGGCGATGGGGGAGGCTAGGGATTCCCGGATCCATACCAGAGGGCACGCTGGTACATGTGCCAAAACCGTGACCAACTCCACGTGGACTATGAGCTCGACATGGTGGTGCCAGTGCTGCCCCTCGCTCATCTGATGGAGATGGAGCCATCGCAGATGGAGCAGTAGATGTAGGTGGAGGCACACAGATGGAGTTGCAGCAGATGAAGCATCACATTGAGGTGGAGACAGGCACAAGCAGCAGGAGAAAGAAGAGGCAACTCTGCATCATGGGGCCAGTTCGCCAATCTCTTTGTCTTCTGAAGCTGCAGCAAGAGCTGCGGCAAGAGTGAGTCTGATGCAACATTGTCCTTGTTAATTTCTGCAGCAAGATTTGAACCAATATCTGGGTTTAGTTCCTGAACTTAGTAGTGTGCTTGCGTCCGAAGATCTTGAACTATGTGTGCTATCTATCTAAACCTATCTATGATATCCTATCTATCTATCTATGCTTGTGTTTGAATGTTTGCACTCATATTATCTGAATATTGGTGCTCAAACTACCTGAATATTGGTGCTCACAATATCTTAATATTGTTGTTCACACTATCCGAAACTTTGGTGCTCTAGGTTTCAAGGCATAGAACTATAGGTGTGCTCTAGGTGCCAATGCAAAGGTTAAGTGTTATGAAACATAAAATTCATCTATTTTGTAGCATAGTTTGATTGAACGAAGTTTGAACATTGCAAGTCTGAATATAGCAAGTTCGCTCCTGGTTAGGTACACTTGCTGCCTTTAATCAACTTAGTTTGAACATTAAATTGAGCACACCTACTAACACTTCACATTAGTCAAATCACTTAAACCCATGTACACTGACTCACTCCACCCCTTCTGTGGTCAACTTGACCACTGCATCACTCAACCCAATTTTAACTCATGTACCACTACACAACACCCTGCAAATTTCAGCAGTGGCATTTAGTGCCAGTTTCATTTAGTGCACAAGTATAATTCAACTACATCTATCAGTCAGTGAATTAATTATGTAGTTAACCATTGAAAACCCTAAATCCAGTCAACTAGGACATGAAATTTCAGTGACAAACAGTAAGATTCAGTTAACTAAGTTCAGTAAGCAACTAGGTTTAGTTAACAACTACATTCAGTTAACTAGATTCAGTTAACAACTAGGTTCAGTTAACTATATTCAGTTCACAACTAGATTTAGTCACAAACAATAAGATATAGTTAACTGCATCCAGTTCACAACAAGATTCAGTTAACAATTTATTTCGCTCTAGTTCCAGCAAACCAAACCCTAGATTGCAAATTTGGAACACAAGTAGTGATTTGCTAATAGGAGAGAGGGAGGCAGCTCACCTAGGGTTCAACCAACACCATTTGACTGCAGCTCAACATAGTTTGCTCCAAATCTAGCCAATTTGACTATAGTCGTCGCACACCCTCCCCCCTTGCTGCGGGTCCCCCCGCCACGCCGGCCAGCCAAGGTGACTGGCTTTGTTCACCACTCCTTCATTAATGGATCCAGAGCCGCCACTGCTGCCATGCCCGCAAGAGAGAGAGAAAGAGAGAGAGGGAGAGGATGGGAGTGAGGGCCGGCCCAGTCACTTCAGAAAGAGCCGTTAATGGCCATTAGCGGCGCGCCGACAACGTAGTCAACCCGTGCGCGATCGGGCATGTCAAAACGAGATCAAGTTTTGGTTCAGTGTTTGTTGCCACTGTCAAGTTTTCGGTGCGGTACAAAGTATCACGTTTTGTAAGTGGTCGTTTTTCGAGAGCTGTGACGCTAAAGTGGTGGTTGTGTGCATTTTACTCTTAAAAAGGACCCTGAATTTCTCTTCAAATGAAAAAAATGTTCCAACTTTTTTTTTCAAAAAATGTTTGTGTTTTCCAAATTTGGTCAAGATTTTCAAAAAAAGGTTACATTTAAAAGATACTCCAAATTCATTTTTTTATTTTTAGTGAAATTCATAAATTCAAAAAAAATGTTCGTGTTTACAAAATACACATTTTGTAAAAAAAATCTGAATGTTCAAAACATGTTCCCATTTTCACAAATTGTTCACAAAGTCAAAAATGTTTGTGTTTTCATAAAAGGTTCATGTTTTTAAAAATGATAGTGAATTTTTAAAACAAATCCATGTTTTAATTTTTATTCTTGTTTTCCAAAAATGTATGGAATTGTGAAAAATATAATTACCTTTTTCAAACTGTTTGACATTTAAAAAAATCATGTTTCCCATAATATTAGGCAATTCATAATTTTTCTAAAATTTCAAAATAAATAAGAAAAAACAAAAATATTTCAAATCTAACCCTGCAGTATGTTCTTAAATATTTGCGCCGGCCATTGGTTAAGCCCCGTTCATCCTCAGCGCAAGGGCGCTCGATCAGTGAGCTATTACTGGAGGACGTGTTTATTCGAGTGGCCGGCAAGATTTGATCCGGCCTTTGAGGTCTTTGATCCTCCAACTTGTCTTTTTTTTAGAACTTTTACTCATGCCTTACAAACACAGGTCATTTCGGTGCATTTTCACAGTACACAAGTTAGACAACCCAACTACCTTGGAAATAAGAAATAAATATTTTAAATAGCCCCACATTGCTCCTATACATACGGTCATGCCAAATTTATATACGTGTGAGAAACTAAATGTTGTAAGCTTGATGAAGTATTGATGGATTAAGCTAGAGGAAGGACGGATGGATTGTTACATGAGCTAGCTGAAAAAGACCTTAAATTTCTTTTAAAAATAGAATTAACTCTAGTACGTGAGCTAGATGGATGAATTGCTACATGAACTAGCTACAAAAGGACCCTAAATTTCTTGAGGATCGCTACCCGATGAAAAGAGAAGGAAAGACCTGACTACGTGAGCTAGATGCATGGAAAAGAGAAGACCCGACTCTCTCACATATTATGGAACTTCACACCTTAAATTCCCTCGATTAATGATGCGGAGTAGAATCTATATCGATGGCTTGTATATGGAAAAGAGAAGACATGCCTCACTTCCATATTATGAAACTTCATGCCTTAAAACCACCTCGAATGAAATGGAAAACTATATGGGCCTTCTCTGGCGTGCGATGACCTAACGAAACCCTTAAATCCCCTTCAATGAAAAAAAAACAGCGAATTGATTCCTTCACACACGGTAAAACCCAGAACCAAAATGTTCCTTCTCGTCGTGCACATAGGGTCAAGCTTGCACATATAATTCTCACAAAATTTAAGTGCGCACTATTATTTTTTGGTTGCGACGCACGGGCATATGGGCTAGTATTATATAAATATGAATGCACATAGGATATGCAAAGATAAGGAGTTTCAAGGAAAAAAAAGAAAAACATAACAACATTTTTTTTGAGAAAAAGGAAAACATGACAACAAGATTTTTTTTATATAGGAAAAAAAGAAAAGGGGGCGGCCCATGTGGCCAGGTTTGGGCGCTAGGGTTTGGCGCGGACGGGCAGAGAGGAGGGCCGTCCGTGGCAAAGCTATCCAACGGCCACCGTGCGCTGTTTGTTGGAGAGAGAGGAAAGAGGCATTAGTAGATTGCTCCCTCCGCCGCCGCCGAGCCAGTCCATTCCCCTTCTTCCTTCTTGCCACTCCAGACTCCAGACTCCATCCCCTTCTTCCTCCGCCATCTATGTTGCCCGAGGACACTTCGTCTCCGTCTCCGTCTCCGTCTCCGTCTCGTGTTTGTCCATGAATCCGGTTCCGACTACAACCTGATTCTTAGACCTAACCCTTCTCTCAATAAGTACCACCAGAGTCTTAGATAGGGGTACGCCTGTGTGAGATCACACAAGATCCACCATGTCGCTCAAAGGCTATTACGAAGCCTCGTTGTGTCCGCCGGCCGAGGATGATGTGTTTGCGGCTGCAGCGGCTGCGGCAAAGTGGGACTGGGGGGAAGCCCTCCTCGATCGCGCGGCTTACATGGTCGATAAGAAAAACCATACTTCCGCCCGCTGTCGATTCAGGAGGGACGTCCTGGACAAGAGGGAGGTGGAAATGCGGGTCACATTGTGCCTCGCCCCGCCGCCTCTCGTCTCCTATTTCTGCTGCCACGCCTACTACGCGGACGACAAAGGAGAAGACAACCGATTGTTCATCAGCGAGCCGTCCATGTTTGCCATGGAGGGTGACCTTGCACTTATCACCCTCTGCCACGGGGAATTCCACCCCTCCGCCATCGACAACAACAAGGGCTACTATGAATACTTGGTGTACCAGGCAGGGAAGGAGGAACTCACCCGGCTCCCGCACCCCGACCCCTGGATGTTGCCAAATGAGAGATCCCACTGCTTCAATTCCACTTCGATTGCTGTCGTTCCTTGCAGCAGCAAATTTCCCACCTCAGTCCTCAGCCCCTCCGTCACCGGCCCTTCTCAGGATGATGATGCCTGTGGTGCCTACAAAATCGCAGCGCTTGGCAAGGACTTTTTCCACGACTCTGCCAATGGCCCACACTACCTGTGCATCTATGACTCCAAGACCGAGGCTTGGACCCGCAAGGCAGGTGCTATTCCACAGCCTCTGCTGCCGCCATCCGACTTCATCTCCGACATGACCATCACCATCGGCGGCAAAAGCGGTGGCATCGTGGGCTGGGTCGACCTCTGGAGTGGCACGCTCCTCTCCGACGTGCTAGCCGACGACACCCCCTTCCACCAGTTCCGCTATGTCCCCCTTCCCGAGCCGAGGCAGCCGCCAAATCGCCTCCCTCTTGCCGTTGACATTGCAACCGCCTTTAGGGACATTGTCCTTGTCAAAGAGACTGGCATCATCAGGTTCGTCGACCTTCAGGTCCACGGCCAACCCGGCAACCCTTTCTCAGAAATCCCTAGTGGCTGGACGGTGGTCACATGGACAATGGAGGGGCTCCGTAGGGATTCGGTAACCCTGGGTGATATGCGTTTCAAGCCGGAGCATGAAGTCCATTCTTGTGATATTGAAAACTACGATTTGCCCAAATCTGTCTTTGTTTCCAACCCCATTCTCAGCTCCCACAAAGATGGCATATTGTACCTCAGGACCACTGTCAGCAGCAAAACCGACAGGAACTCGCGAGTTATCGCCGTTGACATCAAGAATAAGAAGCTGCTGAAGGTGGGTGAATTCGATATGCGAAGACCCAACACCTACAGGCGCACTACCATCTCCAGCTATCTCAAGCCCCCAGGTACCATGCCATCGCCTCCCCATTATTAATGATAAATATACTATGTCAATATGCCTTGCTCAAATTCATTCGAGATATAGACCATGACATGAATTGTACTCCCTCCGTTCCTAAATATTTGTCTTTCTAGACATTTCAAATGACTACTACATACGGATGTATGTAGACATATTTTAGAGTGTAGATTCACTCATTTTGCTCCGTATGTAGTCACTTGTTGAAATGCCTAGAAAGACAAGTATTTAGGAACGGAGGGAGTACGTTTTATCATCTGAGGACAATCTGGTGGCTACATACACTTCAAAGCTGAAACCTTACCTTGGTGACCACAAGATTTCCTGTTAACAAATTTCCTTTTCTTAGCATGGATGTTACTACTACATTCTAGAACTAGAAATTGCTGTTCTAGACTCTTATCGCGTTGCCCGGCATTGTTAGTTGTGATTTTAAAAGATAAGGTTAAGGGTTTCTTTCTCACACCAAAAATCTGTTCTTTTTTGTGCAGTCTCAAAGGAGAATATGAAACGACGAGCCCCGGTGTCTATGGGATCCTCTCGCAAGAAGCCACAGCAGCAGCCCGCCATCACCAACCCAGCTGAGGGAGGAGAGGTTTATGTCGGGGATGTAATGGACTTACAGTAGGCGATCTTTTCGGGTACGAGTGCCTTCGAGGCACATACCATCACCACCGGAGAAGTACCCAGGGTGGAGATCGAGAGTGTTTGCTTCTGCTTTCGTGTTAACTAGCCAGAATCTGAATTTTATTTATTAAGTAAGGCTATAGAAGATTCAGCGGACATGTACGATGGATGTCTGAGGCTAGTGGATGTATTATAAATCATTAATGATATTTGAGAAAATATGCAATGACAGCAGTGACACTGCTTATTTATAAGCCTTGTTTTTCTTTATTTCAGCCACATTTTTGTCTTTGAATCAACAACCATCATCAGTGCGATCCCCGTTCATGGCATAATTAGTCCAACAGAAATTGAGGAATTAATCTCTAATTCTTGATAGAAACCTGGAAAGATTAAAAACAATTGAAGTTGGAAACTTTTATTGGACAAAATGAAGTCTGAGCAAAAATTCGAAGTAATATTTTTTAGGGGGGCTTTATATAACGGTCAATAAACTTTTATTGCTTTTCTATCGGACAAATTGAAGTCATATTTCAGTAATGGTACATGTTCTTCGATTGTAACTTTAGCTTTAATCAACGCTATCAATTTGAGATGACAGGGGTTTGGTTTTGGTGGGTGATTACAAAGTCTATCATGCCCTCTAAACAATTTCATTTCGTGCATAATTCTGTCAGATTCTCTTATTTTGATCATTACGTACTTTACTTTGTATTAGAAGGGCATGAACCTACATTCTCTGTTCCTAAATGTAAGACGTTTTTTGCAGTTCATAGACGTCTTACATTTAGGAGCAGAGGTAGTACTAAATATGGTGTGTAATTGCTAATATATATTACACGAGAAAAACGACCAAGAAAAACAGTATATCCTACAGCAGAAGCGCGTACACTGTTATGACATGCTAAGAGCATCTCTAGCAGACCCGTATATCGCCGACTTGCGTAGCAGGAATGTCGGGTGGTAGGTGCGACATATGCCAACGGGTGACTTATCATTGTGGGAGCCAGTAAGACGTCGCCGGTGCCTGCAAACGGGATGAGGCGAAGACATGCACGCCGGCGAATCTTACCCAGCTTCGGGGCTCTCCGTGGAGATAACACCCCTACTGCTGCTCTGCGGGGTCTCCGCATGGTCACTAGATGAACAAGTAGCTACACGGTGCTCCTTGAGCTGTTTGGCGAGAGGAGGAAGAAGGGCACGGCTTGCTCTCTTCTCCTCCCTATGTGGTGTCTGAGACTAGCAGAGATTGATCTCCCTTTGCATGGATGCCCCGGGGGGTTTATATAGGCCTACCCCCCGGGGGTACAATGGTAATCCGGCTGGGCGCGGGACCCAGCCGTCTGTGTCTACGCTCTCCGGCTTCTGCGCCGGCTGCTGGGGCCGCCGGCTAGTGGGTCCCGCCGGCTGCCGGCTCCTTGGTCGACAGGCAGGCCCCACTGTCAGGGCCTTGTCGGCGGCTGGTTACTGTTGCTCAATCTTGGTGTCGAGGGCTTCGCCGAAGTGGGCGTGGCTACAGTGCCGCCGCCCGGTGGGCGATCACTGTAGCCCCACCGCGTCTTGTCTCCTTAATGGGGCGTCTTCTTTGAGGGAGGTGGCAAGCCGGCTGTGGGGAGCCGGCTCTATCTTGGGCCGACTGGGGGAGGTCTGGCCGCCTTCGGGTGTCTCTCTGCCCGAAGGGGCCCATCGTCTGTGGGCCGTACTGGTAGCCCGTCGTGGATGACATCAGGGTCAACGTGGCAACAGTGCTGCGCCGGACGGGTTATGCCACCCGTACAGCGCACTGTGCTAGGCGTGCTCCGGGATTCGGGGGTGGCAGGCTTCACTGTAGCCACGCCCCGTCACATCGCCGTTATGTGAATGCAGACTTCGAGGGTACGATCTTGACCGCTTTATGGGAGCCGGCTTCTTGGAGTCGGCCTTCTCGCGGCCGGCTTCTCGGAGCCGGCCCTCCCGGGCTTTTCTTCATGAGGGCTGAAGTCGGGCCGCCTTCCGATAGCCGGCCTGGAGACAGCCGGCAAGGGGAAGGCGGCCCTGTATCTTGGATTCTTGAGGGCCGAATCGGCTCGTAATTTTTTCAGAAGGGCCAGGGGGAGCCGGCTAGGCTACCGATGGTTATTTACTCCGACAGTAGTCCCCGAAGCTGATCGAGTTTCGAGGCTGACAAAGGGACGAGAAGCTAGGTCAGCTTCCTATCCCGAGGGACCGGCTTTGCTTGTGCGCGCCGTCTTCGGAAAAGCTCTGTTTCTCGTAGGCGGGAACGCGGGCCACGTGGCGAGGAAATCCTGCCAACGCACGCGCTCGACGGGACGCCGCCGCAGGCCCAGGCCCACCACTCGCAGGCCTTGGTCCGAGCGCGGATCTTCTGCGGCCCACATGGATCACTCGCCTTCCCGCGGCGGTTTTATTCTGCCATCAAGGCACAATAATCGCGGGACGTGCGGGAGTGGGCGCAGTTGATCCCCACGTTCCCCCACGCCGCGTCTCAGGCACAAGGGTTCGCACCCCCTGTAACTTTCACGCATATCCAGTCGACCAAGCCCCCAGGCACCGAGACGTAGGGCTATTACTTCCTCCGAGAAGGGACTGAACTCGTAAACCTTGCGTGCACAACCTCGTCGTAGCTAGGACCTTGCCTCCTCCTATGTACCCCCTGTTCTTACTGTCAGACTTGCTCCCACGACAGGGGGAGCTCCCCACCTGAATATATATTTCTTAATTTTGCAATCCATCGTTTGACTGGTTCTTCCACCATGGACATCAAGAATTCAAGATGAGCTAAAAAAAATGCCCGCATAGGGATGCAGACGTGGACATCAAGAAGTCAAGATGAGCTAAAAAAGATGCCCACATAGGGATGCCGGCGTTTGGTCTATGGGTGTATCTATACCCTATATGAAAAAAAATAGTAATTAAATAAAAATTCAAAAAAACTAAAAGTATTTTTTGAAATAAACTCGATCTTCTATTGTACTTGTGAAAAAAATCCAAAAAAGAAAAAAAAATATCCCTTCAACTTCATAAAAAGAATAAATTTTCAGCCAAGATAGTGTAATAGCAAATAATTTATTTGTTTTTCGCCCTGAAGTCAACGCTAATTTTTTATTCATGAAAATGTATATACTAGTGCAAAAGAAAGTCAAGTTTATCCTAAAAAAAACTTATGAACTATTTTGACTTTTTCTTTGTAATTTTTTTCCCATATAGAGTGTAGATACACTTACAATGTATTAGATACACTTACAACGAGGAACCAAGGATTATATATGTCAGGGGAACTGACAACGCTACACTTACAATGTATCAGGATATATTACATCATACTCGAAACTCTTTTCAAATGTATTTTCCAATCTTATTAAAGGAGGCACATGTAACTTGGATCATGATTCATGACACGTCCTTTTCCAGGACGGTGTTGCTCTTGGGGGCAGACACCAGGGCAACTGAGGGGCCTATTGTCGCTACCAAGAACTGTTTGAAAATCCACTTTATGGCACCACATATATACTGTATTGCTTTGGAAGGAACTGCTGCTGATACGGAGGATATAACAGATACGACAAGCTTATCCAGTTTTATGTCCAGTGCAGAAAACAAAATAATTGGCGTGAATGTTTCTGTATTGTCAATATTTTGCGAACACACTTTTTGAAACAAAGGAGATCCCGCTCGTGCCAAAGCATAAAGAATGAAATATGGGAGCAGATCTGTGCTATCTGAATGTTACTTTTCTTTCTTTCTGCTCATAAGACGGCCACAGCGGGCTTATGGTTTCCTTTTCTGCACTGTCAGTATTTGAATCAAAACACGAAGGAGGCCTGACACTGACAGTGAGCGCCACTGCACTCTACATTGTATTTTCTTGCTCATGCGTCCTGTACTATTATGTGTCAAACTGTTGACACTTTTTTTCCCACAAACATATTGGATTATTGAGAGGATGCATTCCTTTATTGCATATGCTGATTCTGACGATCATAGCTGTAAACACCTCTGTCACTTGCATGATCATCGTGTTCCTTTTTCAGAGAGAAGCAATACAGCTTGTTTCTGCAGCAATTTGAGGTGGTATTTGCAGTGACTTGGGTAGTGGAGGCAATGTTGATGTTTGTGTAATTACAAAAGGTATGGACTTTCCATTGCAGTTATTCACTCTGCCATGGCATGTATGCAAACTTTTCAAATGATCATGCTCTGCATAGGAAATGATACAATTCAAACAACAGCAGCAGCAGTAGTAGTGCCTTTATAAAGATCCTGTCAATAGTTTTGTCTGGATCTTTGGCCACTGCAACCTTTATGGAGCACGCCGGGCATAACAATGACGCACACTATCATGGCACATATCCCTTACTATGGCTGCTCTTATACAGTCTAAGATGTCGATATCTAGATTACAGTGCGCCGACCAATAATCATGCAGTACCATCCAAGTCGCCGTAGCCATCTCAAAAGAAAAAAAAATACCATAGAATGGGTGGTATTGATATCCAGTTTAGAAGTTGTTGTAGTTTTGTACAAGTATCACCGAATTGGGCCATGAACAATCGACATGGATGGTTTGATTTAGAACCGTTACGTCGGTTACAGAGGTACGATCGACATGTTTCTCCATTATTGTACGTGCTAAATTTAGTGCGGGGTAGAGATTCCTTCACTGCTCAAGTCATTATCCTGATCGCCACAACTTCAGCCTTCCACCAGCACTTGTCTCAAACTTGTCTGATTGGGTCGCTGTCCTCTTCTTTATCACCACAACTTTTGGCCTTTTAGTAGTACATAGTGTGTCAGTTTGATGAGCTTTTTAACTTCCAGTGTTCACAAATTAACCTTGTCCATGAGCAATAGTGCAACGGGCCAGTTTGGAGCGTAGGAATTTGACCTGAATTTTGTACTACCAAACAGTTAAATTCCACAAAAAACATAGGACGGAAAGACGGTACTTTTAATTAAAAAAAACTTGTGATTTAAAAAGATAGTTGCAGATTCATGAGTCCTCAGGTTCCCTTTTATTTTAACTGTACAAGGTGACCTCATCTAAGCCTCATTTCGGTCATGGACCCCTTACAGTTCCAACATGGGTAAACTCTTAAGTGTACATGCTGGAGAATTAGGCGCCGTTTATCCTTCACCCCTGAAATGGGGACATAAAATGTGTGGCAACCTAGCTTGCCTACTGTTATTCAACATTTCTGTATTGAGATTGGGAAGCAGCAATCAGGGCAGCCCCTATCCCCGAGCCATCATCCGCATGCTTGACGACTATGAACTTCGATGACTCCTCCCCTAGCAGTTCATTTAGAGTAGTTTCCAAGCATTTGCTGAACTTGGAGTAGTGTTCGAACAGTCCTCCGTCGATGGCGATGACCGACCGGCGCTTGTCGACGGAGCCATCCCTCCCAAGCTTCTTGAGGATCCCTGCAAGGCCCGCAGCAGCCAGCCGGGCCGCCCTTCTTGCTACAATGTCGCAGATTTCAACAACCATTTTCCGCGTCTCTAAGGACGTGCCTGCAATCTGGAGGGCATGCATACCATCTCACTTCAATTTAATTATTTTCAAAAAGAGGGCAACATCCTCGCCTCTGCATCAAGCGATGCACACAGCCTTACCATATCACCTTCAATGTGTGCATAGAACTAGTATAACGTTTTCAGTATGACCGCCGTGCAATGCTCACAAAGTCAGCATACCTCTAGGATTTCCTTCAGTTTTTCTTCCACTGTCTTCAGATCGGGCGTGTCGTCATGGTGCATTGCAGAAATATGCGGAGTCCTGCGTACAACGTAAAACCAGATTTATCAGCACATGCCAAGTTTGAATTTGGGAGTGCTCCCTCTGATCCAAAATAAGTGTCGCGGTTTTGAACTAAGGTTAGTTCAAAACTGTGACACTTATTATGGATTGGAGGGAGTAGCATTTTGCCATGGTTAATGAATGGTCTGTTTATTAGAAGATTAAAGCTGATGCGCATCAACAATAACATGCACTTGAATCAAATCCTTGAGTCATGTATGCAGCATTAAGCCAGATTTTATCAGCACATGTCAAGTTCAAAATTTGGCAGGACTTGCTACAGTTAATGAATGGTCTGTTTGATTAGGAGATTAAGAACACCAAGCATTAACAGAGGTATGCATTTGAAAGAAACCCTGAATTCCAGGTCATCAACAAGATAAACATTCTTTATGACTACATACACATTAGAGTATCGACTGCACAAGGCTAGGGAAACAACGTACCGGAGATGGAAATGAGTTTTGAGCTTAGTGTGGTCAATTTCACCGAAAATGGCAGATTGCAAGGACAGTTTAAGCAAGACCCTCCTTACAATTTCACCTAAATACATTCCTGAGGTTAACTTCTCGTAGATCTGAAAGAACCAAAGTATACGATTGAGCCAATGCTCAACAGCAAGAACAGGCAGACTATAAAATAAACTTGCCTGCTCTCCTGGATTTAAGCTTTCATTATCTAATGCTTGATCATATTCAGTTACTGGAAGATGACACGAATAGAAATTACCCCATTCCATATTAATGACCTGGTATACGAGAAGACATCGCACAAATAACTTAGAAACAACAAATTAGTTCAGAAAAATCCAAACATATCCTTGAGCACCACTAGGTTTGAAGTGAAAGGTTATGACCTTTAAACCTCACCATTTGTCCTGAACTAGGCAGCTCTCCTTCCCATTTTGGTATAGCATTTGCCTTCTCAACATAAGCAGCATTTGTGCCAGTGCCAAATATCACACCTGCGACGACATCTTCATCATAGTATCTGGCTCCAGCCAATGTCCCAACAGCGTCATTAATCTATTTCGGCAATAATCTCTTAGAACGAGAAATTTCTTATGAGGTGACAACTAGATTATATTAGAAACAGTGCAATATAAACTTCTCAAACACTTACTAGTGCGGCCACATGCATGTCTAGACCTTGCTTCTGCATAGCTGTTTGCAGTTCAGCAACTACATCTTTACCTACCTGATATGAGTGAGAAAGAGATTAATTCGAAGGAAGACCCGTCTATAGACAGTTAAGTATTTGATTTTTTATGATAAACATAGTTTACTGATACGATTCCCAGAATTCTTTATCCACTATGGTTTAGAATCAAATGATGATGCGGGCTTCAAACAGCCGTATTTGGCGACATCGTTACATGATACGATGTACAAATATGCTGGGTACGTAAGCACAAGGAATTCTTACAGCATCTTCTATAGAAAATGCCTTTGTCCACTTGACAAGGGTACCCGATGCAACAGACCGTTGCCTCACTGGGAAAGAAAATGTGAATCCTAGTTCCCTTGTCTTCCCATTTGACAAGCTAGTACCCTTCTCTTCATCAGCCACAAACTTGGCTAATTCAGAAGCAATGAAACCAAACAATTCCTGCAAAATGGAGAATGAACATAATCAAATAATAAATTAAAGAATGACAACGATTCAAATCAAAGTTGTCGAATTAAGCATATAAAAACATACAGAGGAGCTCCCTGACATCAAATGTGGTGGGATGGCGACTTCTCTGGACTCGCGGCTAATGACATGCTTATCATTGCCACCTAGCTGCACCTTCAAGACACGGAAGTTTGTCCCTCCTAGGTCCAGTCCATAGAACAAACCTTCCTCTCTCCTAAATTTAGTAGCACAAAAGTAAGCAGTCAAATAGTTCTTATGGTGTTCACCGGCCAAACATAAAATTGCCAACTGAAATCAGCTGTCTTTACCATTAAATCTTTTTTTTTGGACCAAAGGCATCGGGTGCCCATCTTTATTATAAATTAATAAAGCCAACAAGTGGCAGGAGTCACACACCATTATATCTATCAATCAGTTAACCTGAATCCCGATAAAATAACACCGAAATGGATGATATTATATTATATTGTTATGAACATAATAAGGAGCTAGTATCTCTAGTTTCTCATGACCGATATGTCCGACATCCATGAGATCAGTCAAATGATTAACTTATTTTGGTCTTATTATAATGCTGTAAAGATGATAAGGATGCCACGTTTCTATTTTCTACTAGTTCCAAACTGATATATCCCATCCTATGCTTGATTCATAGGACCATAGTCTTTAATAATGTACATGTACTCCATCAAACATCAACTGATTCAAGTTAAACAACACCTTGCTACTTTCTCCACAGTAAGATACTAAGATGTGACACAGAAACTAACTGTCTACTGTCAATAGGCTGACATTTTCAGTGAGCATGAACACAAGAACTGAAAGACCAAACGCTTCCTGTGATTAACAAACAGACAAGAAGCGAGAGCTGGAGTACATAGCAACTAACCCGGTGGGGAGCTTGTCAACGTAGGAGAGCAGCATCTTGACCCTGCTCCCACCCTCCATCTCCAGCCCGGCGCACATCTCGTCGGCCATCGCCGCCGCCACGTCGCGCAGCAGCGACGGCGGCGTGGCGCACTTCTCTCGGAGGTCCGCCACCACCTGCTGCTCCGCCATTGCCGACGGCGCTCCCAATCCCCCAAAGGCAGGTCAAGGGGAAACGACTGGACTGAAACAGTTAGCGGGGAGTTTGGAGTCGACGACAGCTGAGGGGACAAAATATTCGACCGCCCAAGGAAGAAGATTTGAGAGCTCAGGGGAAAGGCGGGGGGCAGGAATGGGGTGGCGGCACGTGAAATTCGGCGAGACGAGCAGGGATGGTGGCGCGACACGTGAGATTTGGCTGGGAGCGCTCATCTTTTCGATCCGCTCGGTGGAGCGGCGGGGAAAGGTTGGCTCTGGCTCGTGCGTTGTCGTTCAGTTCTACCTCTTCGGGAACCGCGCAGCACAGATTTTTTTATTAAAAATAAATGATAATTCAATTATTCCAAAACTGGTAAAGGTAACCTGAAATTTTGAAAAATGAGAAGGACGCTATGAGTAACAGCGTCCAGACTGGCCGCTATTGTGAACCATATCCAGGTCTGGACGCTAGTGTTAGCCGCGTCCCATGCATGATTGAACCAACCCAGACCAGGAATCCCTGAATCGGTTGTCCCCAACCTAATTGGCTTGCTCGTTCAAAAAAATATCGATTGGTGGATCATAACAGCGAGCGGTCGGTGAGATGATGTCTCTCATGTGATGATTGGCGTTGTCGGCTGTTATGTCCCGAATGCAACGTCGCACGCATGCTATGGCCAAGCATGCTGAAGCGGAACGAGTAGCGCAAGAACAACGACTGACAAAGAACACGCATACCAGATAAAACTAAAGACGGCCCGAGTGCACCAGCGAAGCACTGGTAATGAGTGGGTCAGATTCTTAGAAGATGGATATGCAAGTTAACTGTGTTGTTGATGTGGCTATTAGTAGTGTCGCTCTTATTCCTATAACGTATGTGAAGGACCTTGATAAGGATTGGAGCATCTCTAGCTGATCCTAAAACGGTTAGAGAAGTAAAAAAATCCGGCCTTACTTCTCTAACCAGGACTTAACTTATCCCGTAACTCCTATAGTGGAGTATATATTTTACTCCTCACCTTGCTGAGCATCTAAACTTACTCGACTTTTCCGTCGTGGAGTAAAAGCACCACATGCTTCTTTGCCTCTCCCCCCCAATCCCCTGTCGCCTTCATGTCATCGGCGAGCCCCCCCCCCCATCGCTCTCGTACACCGACCCTTGCCGCCATGGCCAGATCCCATGGCTGTCCCTCCTCGCCACCCATCCGCAGAGTGGATCCGCGCCGCCACGAGCGCAGCGCTGACCCGTCTGCCTCCTGCCATCATCACAACTATTCCTTGAGCGTCGCCCCATCTGCCTCCCACGGCAGGCTCTCCGGCTTCCCCGACCTCCCAGCTCCGCCGCCGCAATGAGACCGTACATCGGCATGTGGCAGCGGGCATGGGGGACACGGGTGGCCCAGATCACAGTCCGGCACACCCATGAGAAGCTTTGGCTAAGACCCTTCCAATTCGCCGAGCGGGCCGCCAAAGAATATGACATTTGGCCGGTCGCGCCGACGGCCACCAGAACTTTTACTTTTGTGGGAGGTTGCGGCTAGATGTCAGTGTCGGTGTCAAAAACGGCGGATCTCGGGTAGGGGGTCCCGAACTGTGCGTCTAGGAGAATGGTAACAGGAGACGAGGGACACGATGTTTTTACCCAGGTTCGGGCCCTCTCGATGGAGGTAAAACCCTACGTCCTGCTTGATTAATATTGATGATATGGGTAGTACAAGAGTAGATCTACCACGAGATCAGAGAGGCTAAACCCTAGAAGCTAGCCTATGGTATGATTGTCTGTCCCTACGGACTAAAACCCTCCGGTTTATATAGACACCGGAGAGGGCTAGGGTTACACAGAGTCGGTTACAATGGTAGGAGATCTACATATCCGTATCACCAAGCTTGCCTTCCACACCAAGGAAAGTCCCTTCCGGACACGGGGCGAAGTCTTCAATCTTGTATCTTCGTAGTCCAGGAGTCCGGCCGAAGGTATAGTCCGGCTATCCGGACACCCCCTAATCCAGGACTCCCTCAGTAGCCCCTGAACCAGGCTTCAATGACGACGAGTCCGGCGCGCAGATTGTCTTCGGCATTGCAAGGCGGGTTCCTCCTCCAAATACTTCATAGAAGATTTTGAACACAAAGGTAGTGTCCGGCTCTGCAAAATAAGTTTCCACATATTGCCATAGAGAGAATAATATTTACACAAATCTAATCAGCTGACGTATTCCGTAGCGTGACATCACACCATGGCCAAGTCTTTATTCGAATCGTTTTACTGTCCCACCTCAGCACGTTTAGCGAGGCGGTTTCCTTGGCACGTCTTGTTAAAGCAGAGATCGTGTCCCCTTATTCCGGGATTCTCATCAATACGGGCGTGGGTAACCCAACCGTACCCGTTGGTATGTTTTCTCGATGAAAGGCGAGTCCCAAACGATCACGGGGAGGGCCCTTGGTATTCAACCTCTTATAAAGAGACCAGGGCCTTACTCCTTTCTTTCAATCTCAAACGAGTTCGCCCTTCGCCTCGAGTTCCAACACCTATGGCTCCAGATTTCAGGCGCTTCGGACCTTCGACAATGTCCGGTTCTGACCTTCGAGGCCGATGGATGGACGGAGGAGGACGTGCTGAAGTTAAGAGAGGCCAGGTTCTTGACCGGCGAAATCTGGCATAGGCTGCCTGCTCAAGGGCAGGTCATTCCCACTCCCAAGCCTGGTGAGAGTGTGGTGTTCATGTCTCACTTCCTTCGGGGGCTAGGCTTCCTGACGGATCCCTTCGTGAGGGGGCTCATGTTTTATTATGGGCTGGAATTTCATGACTTAGCTCCGGAGTCCATCCTCCATATTTCCTCATTCATCGTCGTGTGTGAAGCCTTCCTCCGTATTACTCCTCACTTCGGACTATGGCTCAAGACCTTCAAAGTAGAGCCGAAGATGATCGAGGGACGGCACGCGGAGTGCGGAGGTGCTTTTATAAGCAACAATGTTGGTGCTCCATGGCCCGAGGGCTCTTTTCAAGGGGAGTCCAGCTTATGGCAACGAGAGTGGTTTTATATCACAGCTCCCGGGAGCACCAAGTGGGTGGCGCTGCCTGCTTTCCGCTCGGGTCCCCCACCGAGACTGGCGTCATGGGTCAATAAGGGGCTGGACTGGGGGTCGGCAAAGGACGTGCCCCTGTTGCAGGGCCGCATTCGAGATCTCCTAGAAAGAGACATCAGTCTGGTCGTGGTGACGCAGGTTATGTTAATTCGCCGAGTTTTGCCCTGCAAACGTCGCCCCCTCCGCCTGTGGGAGTTCAACCCGGAGGGGCCAGGAGTTCTCCAACATTTTCTTGGCATGACGCCCGTGGAGATGTACAAATTGTTCTTCGGACCACAAGTAGTGTGTCCGGATTCTATGGAGGACGCAGGTCTGAGCTGCAATCGTCCGGATACTCAAGTAAGTAGCCTTGTGCCCGGACTCGCTATCCGTATATTTATCATAAAATTGCCCCTAAAAGAGATGTCCTTTAAACAGGAGTGGATAGCGAAAGCAAAGCTAATCAGGTGTCTGGCCCCCCTCCCCGAGACCACGCCGGATCCCGTGTTAGTCAGGATGTTGGAGGTTGTGCCTTAAGAGGAAAGCGAGGGAGGGGACAAGGAAGCTACAGCCTCCTCGAAGAAGGTTGTCCGGAAGGGAGGAATCGAAAATTCCTCTCCTTAGGGGAAGAAGAGGACCGCCTCTGACGACCTGGAGACCATGGCCTCAAAGCGGCGGAAGAAATCTTCGTCAGAGGGTCCTGCGCCGGGGGATACTTCGGCCGAATTATGCCCTCAAGGGGATCAGCTCTCCACCGAGCTGTAAGTAGAGAGGAGTTTTTCTTTTTAAGAAATGAGAGAAATCCTTGTGTTATATCTGAGAAGAGTAATCGAAAATTTACCTTGTAGCTCGGACCTTAGCCCTTCTCAGCAGAGCTCGTCTTCGGGGGATCTTCTTCCGGAGATGATGGAGAGCGGAACGCCTCCCTCTGCCGTACCGCATTGCGAGGCGGGCGATCCTGAGGTATCGTCGCGGAGGGTTTCTCCGAATCCGGCAGGGCCGGAAGGTAGTCATATGGCCCCCCAAAGCCCTCCGCGTCCGGCCTTCGAAAAGGGCCATCGGATGAGTCCGGCACCGTCTGGTGCGCGATCGGAGGAGCTGAAGGATCTGCTAGGGCGAGCATCTATCTCAGAGGAGCATCATGCATTGATGGGTACGGTGATTGAGAGGATTTCATCCGCGGAGAGCGGATTGCATGAGGCCGTCAGGAGTTTACTGGCAGGTTTTGAGGTACGCGAAATAATGTACTCTTTTCGGACAGTTGCACATAAATAAGATGCGCCCTGTGTAGATAGTAGCCCCTGAGACTCTGTGCGTTGTCAAAAGTGACGGCGCGCAGAGGATCAAAATCCCAGGTCTAATATGCCGCCTTCATACGTAGGTGGCGAAGTGTCCGGTGGCAAGCCGGACTGATGAAGTTGCTGAGCTAAAGCGGCAACTTGACGTGGCAGATGCCGACATCGCGCTTGTCAACAAGCGGCTTAACGAGGCACAAGGTTTGTAATTCCTCCGGCGGCACCTGGTAAGAGGAGCTTTATGCCAGTATCTTACAATGTGTGCGCTTGATGCAGATGGTGCTGCTGCCATGGGGAATCTTCGGGCGGAACTTGCCCGAGCCAAGGAGCAAGCCAGGAAAAGTGATGCAGCTGCCTTAAAGGCAATTAAAGAGCTGAAAGCCGAACAGGCTGCTCACTGCCGAAGCAAGAAGGAAATGGCCGAGATGGCCGTGAAGCTGAAGAACACTGCTGACCATTGCAAGCTTCTTGAAAAAGAAGATCGGGCGGAACAGACGGACCTGGAGAAGGCCGTTGCCGATGCCAAGGATGCTCGCTCTGCGATGAGAGCTATGAAGGAGGAGCTGCGTCAAGCCGGAGAGATCGCGGCTGGAAAGCCCTTTATGCTGCCGAGGAAGTTCTGTGATCCTAAACATG